CCGAACCGAACGGAACAGAATTAGAACGGTTCCATAATTATATTTGGACCCGACGGGTCCATTTATTAAATACCGAAAGTTTTGGGTCGATTCGAGTCTCTTCAGAATCAGACCGAATCGACTCACGGACAACCCTACCAAATATACATAGGAGTATGACACGATGTGTTCAAAAAATGTTATAAGCTAGAGAAACGTCACTACAATATTTCGACTACTACACATGAACTCTTAACTCATGTAAAACTTTGGCCAACTTGAAAAAAGATTTGCCTATGAACAGGGACGAATTTATGATTGGATTACAGGCCGGGCTAATATTTTTAAAAAAAAATTACATATGATTTTTTTTTTTACATAAATTTTTTTTCCTATCTAAAAAAAATTTAGTTGGGGGTGGGGGGCCTCCATCCGTCCTTGCCCACGAAAACATTATGGGTTCGTTTGACATGACTTTTGAACACGTTCCACTAATTTTGTAAAAGTATTTTTGGTAGTTAAAAAAACTTTTATAGGAAGTCGGTCGAATGTGGTTTTCTCTAAAAGCGCTTCTAGAATAGGAAATACTTTGAAAAATTAGTTTCCAAATAAAAATTAAGATAGCTTTCTCCAAAATCAAGAACATTTTTCCCAAATGAATCGTTTATCTTGTGAAGGCATGTTAAAAGAAAAATTCTTGTCGCTTAAATAAAAATGTATATATCAACGTATAAAATTTTGAACCCCTTCTCGTATGTTTAGTTTGTATTGTTGTGATGTTAAGAGAATAAGTTTTATCGTTTAAAAATAAATTGAAATGAGATTTTTATTTATCTTATTCTAATCACTTTATGATAATAATTTCACGACGCTTGTCATCGTGAATACGAACCTGATAGATTACACACACGAAAAGAAAATTAAAAATTTGGAATTGATTTTGAACCTTAGTTGATGTATGCAAAATAATGACTAAATTTTATGCTAAAAGTTCCTACTTTTTTTCTACTCGAGTTATTGTCCACTCCAATAGAAAGAATTGTAATTAGGTAGTTAATATGCAAATAAGGTCTCCTTGACAAAGTCGAATTGACATGACCTTAGGACATACCTATATATTCTCTTCTCTCTATTTGTTTCTTCTTTTCCAAGTCTACAGAAATTCGCAACTCCTAAAATATTGAATTGTTTGCACTTTTCTTTCACTTGTTATTGGGTCAACGAAAAAAAAAATAGAATTAAAAGAAAAGGACCCGTGATCAACCTTACAAATTTGACCATTCTTGTTACAACGTATGACATATATATTTCACCTTCTAATACGATAATTTTCCTTTCGTAATACTAGAAAATATTAAAAAAATCAATTTATATTTCTTTAATACTCGACATAATACGAGAAAATTTGTTACATATCTTAATGATGATTTTTAAAAATAATCATTGAAAATTTATATTTCTCCTTACATTGAGCAATTAAAAATGAGGTGCCTTGAGAAATTATTCGTTAGTGTCGTTTTCATGCTTCAAGTAGATGAGATGCATTATTGGCTTCAAGGAACTTGAGATGATAAGATATTCCTTTTCCTAATCCAATTCCTTGATTAATATATATCTTTACGATATGGTTACCAACCTTTGACCCACTTTGCACTTTTACCCAAAAACTTTTTTTACTAACATTTAATTCCTCTAACTTTTATTTTAGTAGCATTTGCGTCCTTGTTCACGGTTTACATCTAAAAACAATGTTATAACTTGGTGGAAAAACATATTTGCTCTTTAGTTAAAATAAGCAATAGAATAAATATAAGTAGAATTAAAAAAACATCCTCCAATCACTTGACAACGGTGTGGGGGCGGGTATTGAAATATCTACGTTGATATACTTATTTAATTTTTTAATATTTATTATTTTTTGAAATATAATTTAAATTGTAAAATATAAAATAACAAAATAATAGTCCACGAAAAATCCCACCCCCAATTTGGAGCAGGGCGAGGCTTAGACATGTAATTTTGCCATCCTTATCCATATCTACTCATTTTTATTGATAAAATATAAAATATTGTCCCTGCCTACCCCCCAAGTCAGGGCACAGTCAGACATGGACATGTAATTTGCCATCCCTATCCATTTTCCCTCAATTTAATTTCTGTCAAGTTTGAGGGTTGGGAGTGTGAGCTAGGGATTGTGAACATGAATCTAGGCTGCTTGTTCATATCTCGCTAACTTATTTGCTATCCCCCAATCAAATTTAAACGCATCATTGTAATTTCAAGTGTCAAAAATGCTACAAATGTAGAAGGTGGAGTGTTAATTGTCAAGAAAAAGAGTTGTGGCTAGAAGTACAAAAGGGGTTAAAGTTACAGACTACATATGCAATTTAGCCTAAAATAATAAAAGCAACATCGTACGGTGCCCATTCATTTTCATACGAAGTTTCGTTTCAATTTGCATACGTCTACCTGATAATCCGGGTTAATTACCCCAATGGTCATTGAACTTTACCTAAAATTTCCACTAGATTGCTAGGTAAAGTTCAATGACCTGTGAACAAGAGATGCTGAAACAACGTTGGTATTGTGATGCCTTTAGAACAATAAAAAGACTTACTAGTCGACGATTTTGACGTATTACGATAAAGAGATTTCCAATAAATGTCCAGAGCAACTTAGCTTCAAACTTAGGTTAATTACCCTAATCGTCACTGAACTTTACCTACGATTTTCATCAGGTCACTGAACTTTATACATTAATTACTCTAACTATCACTAAACTCTACCTACGATTTCCACTCGGTCACTGAACTTTACCTACAATTCCCACCAGGTCATTGAACTTTATACATCTCAGTTAGTCATTGAATTTTCGAAACTACAATTATATCCATCACTAAAAATTCCACGTCACTCCCAAACGTGCCACGCAGGATATTTCGTTAGCCACATCATTAGTTCCGTCAAGTTTTTTAATTGAAGTTAGTTCGATGATGGATGGGGTTGCAGTTTCAAAAATTTAGTGACTAACCGCATAGATTTTAAAGTTCGATGACCTGATGGAAACTTTAGGTGAAGTTCAGTGACCATTGGAGTAATTAACCCTAATTAATCCCATTAATTCCACCAACACCTCAGACCAACTACGACTTCAACGTTTGTCACGCATTTTCTGAACACAACTACCGTTCATATATCTTTTTTCCCAATAAATCTGTAATAGCAAAAAGAAAAAAAAAATTAGATTCAGAGGATGGCCAATCCAGGGGCATATGAAGAACATCTCCCGGCCGTGCCCGCATGGCTAAACAAAGGCGACAACGCCTGGCAAATGACGGCTGCCACTCTAGTTGGCCTCCAGAGCATGCCGGGACTGGTAATGTTGAAATATCTTGTCTAAAAACTTAATTTGTCCCTTCAGGTTGATATTTTTTCATAAATTTTGTCTTCAACAGGTAATCCTGTATGCCAGCATTGTGAAGAAGAAATGGGCAGTAAATTCAGCTTTCATGGCGCTCTACGCCTTTGCAGCCGTCCTAATATGTTGGGTTCTACTTTGCTACCGCCTCGCCTTTGGTGACAAGCTCTTGCCTTTCTGGGGCAAGGGCGCCGTTTCTCTAGGTCAAAGCTACCTCATCAAGCGCGCGTCTATACCAGAAAGCACACACCGTTATGCCAATGAAACGATTGAATCTCCTATGAATCAGCCATTTTTTCCGATGGCGTCTCTAGTGTACTTCCAGTTCACCTTTGCAGCCATTACGACCGTTCTACTAGCGGGTTCTGTGCTTGGTCGGATGAATATCAAGGCTTGGATGGCTTTTGTTCCTCTCTGGCTCACATTTTGTTACACTGTTGGAGCATTCAGTTTGTGGGGTGGGGGCTTTCTTTATCACTGGGGTGTCATTGATTATTCTGGTGGCTATGTTATTCATCTTGCATCAGGGATTTCTGGTTTCACCGCTGCTTATTGGGTAATATTCTATACACAATTCAGATCTTGTCCTCGATTTTACCTGCGTTTTATTAATTAATTCTGTCTTCAAAACTTTTTTAATCAAATATCTGATAAATGCACAATTCCATAAATTAGTGGAGGAGCTACGCTGACCCAGAACTTTGAATTACATATATAGCTGAGTGTCCAACATGAAAAATTCACTAAAAGTTGGGCGAAGTTCTTAAATTTCTTTTCTGAATAAGAAAATATTGATGGGTGGATTCGTCGCCCATCTTGATGATCAAGCTCTGATCTAACTTCTATGTGTTGGAACTGGTTGGTCCGATACCATCTTGAACTAACTACCTATATGATTTTAGTAATTTTAGGACCCGTTTGTTTCCAGAGTATTTTAACAGAAGAATGAATTCCTTGACCTTTTTTTTTTTTTTCAAACAAATGGATCCCACAGCGAGATAAAAGCGGCTGTTTTCCATTGCAACGGTTCAAATTTTCATTAAAATTGGAAACAAACGGGGGCTTAAATTTTTATGTTCAATAAGTGATCTACGTTAGTTGAACTAATAAAAGTGGATAGAGTGGTCTAATTGAAACAAAACCGAAGCTTGAACAAGATAATTGAGTTTGTTTGTGTGTTGAAACAGGTCGGTCCAAGGTTGAAAACTGATAGGGAAAGATATGTTCCAAACAATATTTTGCTGATGCTCGCCGGCGCCGGATTGCTATGGATGGGATGGTCAGGCTTCAATGGTGGAGCTCCTTATGCTGCAAATATAATTTCTTCAATAGCTATATTAAACACAAACATTTCAGCTGCAACGAGCCTTCTTGTATGGACAACCCTTGATGTTTTTTACTTTGGAAAGCCATCAGTCATTGGAGCTGTTCAAGGAATGATAACTGGCCTTGCTTGCATAACACCCGGCGCAGGTACGTTACAACTAAATATGGAAATGTTCTCCTGCCCACAGTGGGTAGAATAAGACTGCCCACATGCTCACGGTGGGTAGAATAAAACTTTGCTAAAATTTTATCAACTTTTCGACTGGAAAAATTTAAATTTTAACCACATATTTTCGGGACCCATAATTTTTTTCAACTTTTCAACGAAACGTTTCATATACTTTTATTGAATTATGTTAAAGCGTTTATCATAAACTTTGTCAAACAATCCTTAAAATTTAATCATATTTATGAACTTTAATTTGTCATGATCAAATTATTGAAATTCAGTTTTGGATACATGCAGGAGTGGTTCAATCGTGGGCGGCAATTGTATATGGAATGCTTTCTGGTAGCATTCCATGGTATTCAATGATGATTCTTCACAAGAAGTCCACTTTGCTACAAAAGGTATACTTTCGTGCTGTATTTTGCTGCTTAAAAATTCTCAGTTTACACAGCTTTTTTTAATTATTATTTTAGTATTGAAATTTCTGCACGTGTACAATTGAGAGGTTGTGCAAAGTCTTGTTCACACTGGTTTTTCTTTTTATTAGGGGATTACATAATCTTATTTAAACGTCGTATCAAAACGTGTGTCGATCTATGCTACTTTTCTCTTTCATTCAAAGTGAGAATATCTGGAAGAAGTATAAACGGTTTAGATCTCCGTAAATGGAACGATACTATAAAAGTTTTCAATCGAGTTAAGGAATTGAATGAAAATGAAGTTCGATCACAACGTGTGTGGTCATGAGTAGGTAAGAGGAGGAATGTGAACCCAAAGTCTTGGTCAATTTGGGGTATATAGCCAACTAGCACAAGTTGTGTCAAAAACGAGTCCGATTGGTCAACGGTACTTGATAGGTGACTCACGTTAATATCCTATTCAAGATTTAAGTCTTATTTTGAGATCTTCTAGAAGCAAATCTGGTCTGACCAATGGAATTTTTATTTTTCAAACCATTCTACCAAATCAAGTAAAAAAATCATTGATAAATTAATAAATCAATTTTTAATCTCAAATTGAAAGAAAATAAATAGTGTCATAATTGTCGAACCCTAATACTAAATCAATTTTCAATATATTATTTTTCGATAATTTGCTGGCATTTTCATACTAAATTACTCGTAATACAATATATATACACACACACACAATTAAATTGATTTGTTCAAAGAGCGAGAACTACTTGATTAATTTTGCATTTAATTCCCACTTGTATAATCTTCACTTGTTGAGACATATGGGAACATTTTGAGGGTGCTTGGTAGAGATTAAAAATATTGTGATAGAAATTTTTGAAATATGTGGTTGAAAAGTTGTGGTACCCATGAAAGATATGGTTAATATTGATTGTTTGACTTTGACTTGGATTAAAATCAGATTTTAATTCGATTTATAGTTTTTGCCCAGCTTCCTTTTATGTTTGTTAGCCGTAAGCAGTGTTTACCATTAGTATTAAGACCTGTTTGGCATGGCTTTTGAAAAGCAAAAGGTGCTCTCGAGATTCAAAAGCAATTTTTGGATCGTTTGGCTAATTTATGAAAAAGATTCTTCCAGTTACAAGAGTTTTTGGAGGCAGCTAATTTAATGTGACTTCTTCTAAAAGCACTTCTGGAATATAAAACTCTTTTAAAAATTAATTTTCGGACGAAAAAGTAAGTTAGCCTCCTCTAAAACCCTTTCCATAGGAAGCAAAAGTCTTGACAAACGTATCCTTAGTCATGAATTATAGATAAACAAGAGAAATCACAAAGTAAGAAAATAATTTAGTATCCTTTTTTTAAGTATTTTTGTATTGATCAGTAGCACTGAACCGTTTTAAATAAGAAAAACATGTGTAAAATATGTACTAATATTGCATAATTTGTTTATCAGGTTGATGACACCTTGGCCGTCTTCTACACACACGCGGTGGCCGGAATTCTAGGCGGCCTTTTAACTGGTCTATTCGCAGAACCCGACCTTTGCAAGATGATACTGCCAGTAAAAAACACCAAGGGTGCATTCTATGGCAACGGCAGCCAATTTGTCAAGCAATTAGTTGCAGCACTTTTTATAATTGGTTGGAATATAATGTCAACGACAATAATTCTTTTGTTAATCAGAATTTTGATACCTTTAAGAATGCCAGAAGAACAGCTTATGATTGGAGATGATGCAGTTCATGGAGAAGAAGCCTATGCCCTTTGGGGAGATGGGGAAAAATATGATGCCACACAACATGGTTGGCATAATTCAGCTCATGTTGAGATGTTGGCACAACCTGGGGGTGCTAGAGGAGTCACTATTAATTTATAAGGCTTGAATTAATTGAATTATTGAATTTTTCTACGAGTTATAGATATGGTTTGAGGAGTGTTCGAATTGCTGAGTACGAATTTGATATAACGTTGAGCGTATGGAAGAAAAATTTGTTGAAATGGAAAGATTTAGTTACATTTGCATAGAAGAAAAGCGTGAATAAGATAGAGAGAATTTAGTTTAGCCATAAATGTTGGTTAAAATGTCAAAGAACGTCATGTTACATATTTATATATGCATGCTTACTGAACTTCTCGATGAAATTAGTTGTCTCTAGTCTCTAAAAACAAGAAGCTATTCTTTCGTTGAGTCAAGTCAAACTTTTCCCTTTTTCTGCAACTACCCAAGTTAGAGCGCATGCCTCGAAAGCCCTACAACAACGGTATATGACCTCGTTTTTCAATAAAAGTGTTCCTTCAATACAAATGGAATGGACGAGTGGATCCTAAGGACATTTTATACAACTCTATATCACAGCCCAGAGTTGAAAATATCATCAACATTTTAACTACTACACATGCCACTATATCAAGATCCGTACAAGTAGCTTGATCGGGTGGGAACAATAATATAGGCGGGAATCAAGGGGAATAAAATATTACATGTTTACGTGTCTGAGCCCAAGAATAAGTCATTGTTTGAGCCATATTATTTTTTTCATTCTCATTCTTCTACTAATTTTCAATAATTCATTTTTCAATAAAATAATATTTTTCATTACATGAATAACTTTTTTCTTTTTTTTTACCGCATATTTTCCATCACATCAACCAAAAAAATGCATTCTTGACGCAAAAATGTGCAATCAAACACGGACTCAATAACTATTAGAAGACAGTGGTATTACACTATTACACCATACATTTTCATTATATGTAACAATGTTTTAAAATTCAGAAAATATTGGTTTTTATTAAAGGAGAAAAAGTCAATTTGTTCCAAAACCTAAAATCACTATCCCAAAACCCACCCACCGACATTCAGGACTGTCACCTTCAAGCTGTCAACCACCATTCATGATCGCCACCATCTGAACCCCCGAAGACCGCTACCTCACCGTCCCGATCCTTTTTGCAATTGTCGGTGTCGCAAAGAGATTTCAGATCTCAAATGAGATCTGGTTTTCAAAGTTTCCTAACAATTATACTTTTGGAAAAAAATTGATTTGAATAGTGATTTTTAAAAAAATGTGTAGTTAAAAAATATGAAAAATTTTTGAATTTACGTATAGAATGTTTTATTGTGTAAATGTGAGGTTGAAAATGAGTACGTAGAAAAAAATAATTTGAAAATCATGATTGTCAATCATGGACAAATTTAGATAAGATTTGAGGAGATAACAATAAAAACCTGATTTGTTTGGATAAAAAATAGATTTTTAATAAATTTTGATAAATGATTGAAAAGTTAATAAAAATTGCGAATCCCATAAAATATGTGATTGAAAATGAATTTCAACAAATGGAGGCCAAACATAAGCTAAATAATTTTTGGAATAAACAAAATACTAAAATATAGAACATTGTTGGAGTGTATAAAAAAATTACTAAAATAAATTTAAAATGCTTTTGATTATATATAGTGTGTGTTTGTCTCCCATTATTGTAGAAGAAATTAAGTAATGAATAGTATTTTTTGGAATGTGTGATTGAAATTTAAAATTATTTTATTGATTTGTGTGTAGAATATTTTATTAAAAAAGGTTAAACCCCAATCATTATGTATTCTCCAATAATGGCGATCATCAGTACAAACTGAACTCAAATACCCAACCTTAATTTAGCTTGAGATTAATTCATATAACAAACTGTACCCCCATGTCGCATGTTGGATGTCAACAGTTATCCTTAGGTCGGTGCTCGCATTGGTGACGGACTGACCTTGAACAAAGATGACTTGTTTTGACATTTTTGAAATTATTATAGAATAAATATCTTTGAACAAGTGTCATTTTGATTTGCAAATGATCTGTTACGCACCTTTAATAGCTTCATTTGGAAGCTTTACACCAAAACGACGTTGCTTCACTGTGACCAAATCTGGCCCTTCTTTTTCCCTCCATTTTTTTTATCTAACGGTCCAGATTTCACACATTCATCTTTTCCTCCTGTAAATATGCTTTTCCCTATCACTTTCACACATTTTTTCTCTCAGATTCTCTCGAAAAATTTCTTTAAATTTTTCGTTAAGTTGTCCATATTTTTCTGAATGAGGTCATCCATTTCAAGTATTTCCTTGAACAGAAAATACACTTCTTTTTATTACTTTTCACCTAGGTTATTTGCATGAGTTCAGACGAATCTAGAGTACATTCCTGGGGTAACCAACATGAAGAATCCGTACCTTCCACATTTGTGTCTTCTGCGAGTTCGGACTATCAGGAAATATTAACTCCAATCCCTATCTCCTTGATTTACCTAGAATACTTAGGTCATCTTAGGAACATGGAACAACATAGTAAGGGTGTTGATACTTCTAGGAGTGAAGAAGTAGGGTCTCATGAAGGCGATGAGGAGAGCTCTCAAGAGTGGGAGGCGGATTCATATAAGTCGGTAGTAATACGAGACATGCCGGCGAGTTTAAGAGCGAAATATAACATTCCCAGCTCGGTAGAGTTAGTAATACTACCTCATCTCACCGAGCTAACACTCCACAGTGAGGATGTATAGCTTTGAATTATGTCATCCTTAATGCTGGTTTGAAACTTCCCTTTCCTAGGATTATCCGTAAGTTTCTTTCTTTCTGGGGAATAGCTCGACCCAATTATGCCCTAATGGCTAGAGGACTTTAGTTGCAACCTTAATTTTTTGGAATAAATTAGGTCACTCTAAGCTGAGTGTAGCACAATTTAATTCCCTTTTTACCTTTAAGGAAGATGGGAAAAATACTTATTGGTGGTACGCTAGTGTCAGACCTAGAACAGGAGGTCCATTAGTGTTAAATACTCTCTCTTCGATAAAGAAGTGGAAAGATGAGTTCTTTTTTGTACTTGGAGAGTGGCAGTTCCATCCGTCGAGGTGAATAGAGAGAATGTAGTCCTAATCTCTGTTACCCATAATGTAAGTGATTATTATCTTTGTTCCTTCATGTATTTATTTCATGAGCATCCTCCTAACTGATCTGGTTTTACTTGCAGATTATAAGAAGGCCACATTGACCTCGGCCACTCAAAGACATGTCGACATCATAAGAGCTCTTCCGAAAAAACAAAGGTCCTGCAAATTTGTGATATCTGACACAAACCTCCTCCAAGCGGGACTACTTCAGCCTCCCCCATCGACCTCAGTCCCAGCTCATACCTCTCCTTCTATCCCAATTTCTTCCAGTAAAAATTTTCCTAGTATTTCAATTTATATTTGTCTTGAGTGTTGAGCTAATGTATATCCATTTTTGTTTTAGGTCAAGATTTAGAAATGTTGGGATATAAGGCGACGAAAGTAGTGACAACAACTGCAAAGGGAAAGAGAAATATACTCCCACCAAGGTCGTGGAAGACCTGATGAGCCTGAGGTCGAGTCTAAGCAGCCCTTGAAATAGCTTCGCTCTGAGAAGCTACCAAGGCAGTCCACTCCGGCGGCTTTTTCTCCAGAAAGGTCTACACCTTTGTTACCTCGTCATGGGTCACATGATGTAATGAGTTACATAATGCCACATGACATTTTATCATTTGACATTTAAAAAATAGTCAATTTTCTCATTCAATTGTTTCCCTCAACATCCTTTTATGTAATTCGTTATGTACCATTTTTATGTATAAGTAGCATAATCATGAGAAAAATTAGTAGTATAATATTAAATAGGGTTGTACGTAGGTCGATTCGGTTCCGTTCGGTTCTCAACCGAACCGAACCGACCCAAAACTTTCGAGTATTTAATAAATGAACCCGTCGGGTCCAAATATAGTTATGGAATCGTTCGAGTTCGGTTCGGTTCTATACCATAATTAAATTTTTTTAACATTTACAGCAACACTACATAAATACAACTAATGACATTTCATTTGTAACTTTTATAAATTAATGTAGCTCAATTCAAAAACATATAAATAACTAGTTATCCAATAAAATTAATTCAATGCATAAACTACCAAAAAGTAGATGTTAATATTAAAACATCGGTGATTCATATCAAAAACAGCAAATTGATCTCAAACTCCACTGTTTCTTATCTTTAAAATGGGCTTGAAAATGATTTGGGCTTTAAAATGATTTGGGTATTGGGCTTTAAATTAAATTTATGAAATGATCTGATTTATTTAATTAATTTACTAATTTGTTTAGAAAAAAATAATTTAATTTAATTAATTCAATATAAAAAATAAAAAAAATATTTAGTTTCGGGTCTTATTCGGTTCTTGAGCTAGAATCGAGAGACCCGACTCAAACCCATAGGTTCTCGATTCGGGTATCCGTTCGGGTATTTAATTTATGAAGAATCGCTCGATTCGATTTGATTCGATTCGAGACTTTTGGACACTCTTAATATTGAACTTTTCTCCAACTACAACTTGACAAATTAAAATAATAATATTTTTAAAAAATATAAAAGAATTGATAATTGAGACAAATTGCAATCATTTCGACTCTTTCAAATCAGTGCCCGATTCGTAAGCAACAGTTGTTTAAATCAGTCGCCTCAATTGCAATCATTTCGACTTCATCAATCAACAATCAAGGCACAAACTTTTAAAAAGTTATTAAGTTTTAAAGTAAAAAATCACTAATTAAATTTAAAAAATAAATAAGTCACTTATTTTAACGATAAAGTAAATCTCACTTTTTACTAAAAAATTATTGAAACACGTTTTAAAAAAAAAAAAAAAAATTACTTACAAAAAACTTCTTTGCATGCGGTTCAGCCAGATGTGCTTAAGAAAATAGTATATATTCGGTGCTATGTTTTGCTGCCCAAAATTATTTGTCAACTAATTATGCAGTAATATAAGAGCTTGTTTGGGACGGATTAAAATTCAATTAAAATTGAAAATATAGTCGTTATTGAGTCTCACTCGTCTAATAAAAATCAACTCCAACGGCTATATTTTCAATTTTAATCCCTGCCAAACAAGTTCTAAATAATTTACCTCAAATTATTTATATCAATCTTGATTTTATTGTAAATTATTTATATCAAATTTGGTTTTATTCATTTGTATTTAGCCCCTGTTTAGTTTGTATTAAAATTCAATTAAAATCTAAAGTCAAAGTCAACTATTATTTTTAACCACATATTTCATGGGACTCGCAACTTTTTAATCACACATTTCATCAAATTTTACTAAAAATCTTATTTTAATCTCTATCAAATAGGGGCTTAAGCTTCGCTGTACCCCTAGCTAGAAGGTAATTCTATTTATTTATTTATTTGGTTAAAAAAAGAATGCATGTTTGGATAATGAGTTTAAACTTGATCAAAAAGACAATGTTTTTTTTTTTTTTTTTAAGAAGTATGATATATACCTTGTCGGGTTAGCTTTTAGAATTTTTTTTTTTTTTTTTCCCATTATCTATTAACATGAAATGACTAGATACTTAATGCTCGTTATAATTATAATTCTAACTTGTTTTTGGTTAATTTTATTAAAAGAAACCCATGTAAGGAACAATTTCGTAGAGCTTGATTCGACACAACTCGTCTCTCTTAGACAACTATATGGAACTCTACGCTTCTTATAAGTCCACTTGTGAAAATAATGTTTCAAAAGCCCCTATTTCACAATCATTTTTTTAAAAAATTCTTGTCTTCTCGTATTCATTTTCAACCAGATATTCTCACAATAAAATATTCATATGTAAACGGAATTTTTTTCTACTTTTTAACCATATATTCTCTAAAAAAAACTTACTATTTAAAAAGTCATTCTACACAAAAATCACTATCAAACAAGGGCATAATGGCAAACAAAGTACCAAACCAAACTTTTTTAGAACAACCCTACTACATGAACATGGTTTGTGACGGAGTTTTTTTTTTATAAGGCGACATGTGTCGTTATTTCACTGAACAGTTAGGAAAAAAAATTCATAAGGTAATGCCAAAATAGCACCTGTCAATTAACCTGTGCAAGAAGCATTAGGCCCTGTTTGATACCATAAGTTTTCCATGGAAAATGGAATTCAAATTCCATTTCCACTCAAAAAGCATGTTTGATGGGCAAATAGTTCTTGACAATTGATTTTCCTACCCAACGCCCCACGTGCACCTTTTCTTGATTTTGGAGGACTTGCTTTTCTCACCATTTTGGTGGGAAAATAGAATTCCAGTTTTTTCTTGGTAATTGAAACAATTTTATAACCAATTGTAAAAAAAAAAAAATTCATTTTAATGGACAATTTTCATGTAAAACAAAGTCAAACTAACACTAAACTTTGATGAAAAAATGATTTTTTTTAAATATATTTTTTTGTTCTTTTTTTACTTTTTCGTAATGGAAACAAATTTTATAATCAATTATGAAAAAAATTATCACTTTAATGGACAATTTTCATATAAAATAAAGTCAAACGATCATAAAAATATCCAAAATTTAAAAAATTTTCTTGTAAAAAATTATACCAATCAAACACACTTAATTAACAATTTCCTGAAAAATAAGTTTTAGACATTTATTTTATCTAAAATTCATTTTCTTTTCACTCATTTTTCACTCTTATAATCAAACGAGCCTTGATGTTTTTAGAAACTGATTGGTTGATCAAAAGTTTACCCAAGTATGTCATGAACTGTTTACCTGTCATGGTACTTTTGCCTTGCTTTCATATGTGTTTTCTTAAACAGTCTAATCACCGGAACTAATTCATCATTAATCTATGTTAAAACAGACCTGCAATGTTCCTGTATTATCACTATCAGCAACTGCAAAAGAAGGAAAAAAAGATAAATTTATGACTGATGTGGGATGACAAATGAGGAGACAGTTAAGAAAAAGGTCAATTTCAGTTGAAAAAAAAATTACAATAATTAGAGTTCTATCCACCAACCCTCCACGAAAAATCTGGGAGCCGCACGTGCTCTTGCTTGCATTTTTTCTTTCTTACAACTTGCACACAAACATATATACCTGGTAAAAAAATTACAAAATGAAATCTAAAACACCTAATTTTAGACAGATTTCGTGAATTATACTGCATATTATAAACACAAAAACATGGTTTTTTTTTTTAATTTGGCTTAGCTTAAAAAAGTAGCTTTATTTTTTAAAATATTAGAACTCACATGATTTTTCTTCAATTTCGGATTTTCAACGTAAGTTCTTGATTTTAGCTCGTATTATAATTCTCAATTTCTATTTATCTAATTTTCTTGATATCTTCTCATCGACATAAGAGGTTGTGGTTGATAAACTAAATTTGAGTTAACTCACCAAAATAAGCTACTTAATGGTTAATATTAGTTTTCAAAATAGACCAAATTAATAGCAATATTGAACTCATTTGATAACTTGTAATTAATCATATATATATTATTATTATTATTATTTTTTTTTTTAAGAATCCTCAAATTTTGAGGTTTAGACCATTGCTTAGGTGATCTTGACCGGGCGGCCTGATTTTTTTGAGGTTATTGAAATGGAACAAAATCCTTATTTATTTTTTTGCTTGTAGTTGTATTCGCTCTAAGAATTTTTCAATTATATATTGTAAGTCAATGTTAAATTTAGTGAGTATTATGAGATAACATTGCACTCAAAAATTGCTTCAAACTTTTGTATCAACTGTATGATTCTTATCTTACTGAAACCTTGTCAAATAGGACTGTTTATAAACTCGTTCGTCGTGATCTCACTTCGACCGTCATGTTAGATTTAGTTCTATGACGGTTATGCATAATTGGAGAACTATTTGTACTCATCAACACAGTTTAAGGATCTCCAAACCTCAAACCACCTTACAAAAACATATATCATAAATGAATTTGAACAAAGATGAAGTTGATGCAGCATGTTGACCCCGTTTTTAGTAACACTAACGTGGACAACAGATGTCGCCATGTCGGACTCACTCAAGTAAGTTTCAGCGAATTTTGATCGAAGAACCAGACGGAGAAGGGGAGCGTGTGAACGCAGGAGATGCTTTACGGTGCGAGACAAAAAATGTTCAAGCATCGACGATAGTAACTAAGATGAATGCACTAAGGGATAATCACCAACAAAATGTGCATAACCTAAGATCAAACTAATAAATGTAGACAAGTATAGCGTCTACTGAGAGTATTTTTCTTGAGTATATTCTTGTATATTAGAATCAATATTCAAAACACAATCATTTACAATTTACAAAGATCATCTAATTATAGAGTTCTGGCCGACATGGTGATCGTTGGATCAGAACCACGAGACCTTATCTCCTTGACTGAAATCTCACATTACTAAGTCTATCATACATTAAATACATTGATAACGAGTTAGTCGCCATATACATTAGGCTAACACACCTGACATTTTTTATTACAAGTGTTATATCAATCATTCCTAAAAATTGCCTCAAATCTTATAAGAGACAACTTCAGTTTAAGAGATTTCGAATGAACAAAGGGCTTCGACAGGAAAGCGCTTTGTATTGATGGTCTTCTGTGTGAAGAGTTTCAACTTTTTTTTGATTTCTTACGTAGTGTTTCGGTTTAAGAGATTCAGCCATTTAGACAGTGTTTTGGCACATGAGTTTCAGTATTTGTTTGATTTCTTTGCATTTGATCAATTGGATTTTTGTTGACTTTTCTTCATTTTGAGTTTCAGCCTTTGTTTGACTTCTTTTCATTTGATCAATTGGATTTTTGTTGACTTTTCTTCACTTTGATTGGATTCTCGATGATGAGGTGTAACGCAACCTATTTGTGGCCCATAACAATTATATATAATTGCCAAAGCAATGCAAAGAAAAGAAGGCAAAGCCCTTGCGTACAATCTCGTTTTCTTACAAGCACTAGCTAAACATCTTTCGCTGCCCTATGCTATAGCCACCTATGACCTACCTAGGTTAAAACACCCGTATCCTTAGCCAAAGATATTGGCTGACGTTATTCTCCTTCATTAATTTCTAGAGTGGTGCTATGTGTACACACAATTTTTTACACAATATTTTACACCCTCTCACATAGAAGGGAGCCCACGATTATTTTATTATATGTGGGCCCCCCTCCATGTGAGGAGAGTGTAAAAAATTGTGTACACATAACTTTATTCTAATTTCTATCCACCGAACATCATATAATTTCCTTCTCTATATAACTGTCTATTTTTATCAGCTTGTGTAGTCAATGAACAATGGATTTCGCTTCCTTTTCTAACTCAAGTTCTTGTAAAACCACATTAATGACAAGTAATGGAAGGGAGAAGAAGAATGTGGGTGCAGCAAAGAAAGCAAAGGCAGTGGCTGCCGTGAAACTCTCGACTGACCCACAAAGCGTTGCGGCGCGGCAAAGGCGGCACAGGATCAGAGACCGTTTCAAGATTTTGCAGAGCCTGATCCCTGGCGGGGCAAAAATGGACACAGCATCCATGTTGGAAGAGGCGATTCACTATGTGAAGTTTCTCAAGACTCAAATATGGCTTCACCAGACAATGATAAACTTCGAAAAGGATTATGATCACGATTCTGCTTCTTATCTTCCTCAAT